CCCCACCCTGTCCAGCTGAGCCATGGGCCGGGCAACCTGTAGTTTTACCTGAATGTGTCCTAAAATGCATTTCCAAACTTGATTTCCCTTTAACAACTTTCTTGCAGACATCACACTGATGAAATGTTGTTTTATATCTGTAAAGAAGTAAACTGGTTTAGAAGATCAGGTTTTCTACAGTCTCAAATATGTACATAGCCTTTAAAGATTCCACAAACTGCACAAGAGTCAAATTATTTCTTTGTGTCTCCCTTCTCATTTATATTACAATATACTAGAGAGCTGTGCCCCCCACTCACTTCACTTGCTAACTCCCTTCTCACGGGGGTAGGTAACCCTGAGAGCTGGGCTGCGGCTGCACCAGCCCAAGCCTCTTCTTCCCTCTCCCCACCACCGGCACCAACCCAGGCTCCTTTTCTCTCTCCACCCCCCATGCCAACCCATGCCCCTTCTCCCTCTCCCCTGGAGCCAGCCCAGACCCCTACTCCCTCTCGTCCATGCTATGGCAGCCTGGGTCTCTTCTCCCTCACCCGCTGTGCCAAGAGCCCTCTGCTGGCACATAAGACCAGCTGGGAGCCCTGCTCCTAGCCCCTGTCCTTGAGCTGCTGTCCTGAGCACCATACCCTTTCTGCCACCTCCTCTCCCCCTCCCCACCTGCCGACTGTGGAGTCTGCTGGCTACTGTGCCATGTTTCTTGGCACTGAAAACCCTCTGGGGTGGGGGTTGAGAAAGGGGAGTAGAGGCTTGGTTTAAAATAGCAACTCCAAATGGCAAGGGGAAACAGCGAGGTCGGGCTCAAGCTTGGGGGAGGGAGGAAGCAGAGTTACAGGATGATGTCACTGTCATCCCGCAGGAAAAGTTTTAATATATATAGATATAGATATAGATATAGATATAGATATAGATATAGATATAGATATAGATATAGAGAGAGAGAGAGAGAGAGAGAGAGAAAAAGAAAAAGAAAAAGAAAAACATCTCTGGAGAAAACAAGAGGGCCATCTAGTTTATTTCATTTTGTTCACTGCAAACTGAATAGTCTAGTACTTTGTGTGGGTGTGAGGGAATAACTGAAACCCAAATATGTCCTGATCGGAGCAATCTTCTCCAAAACATAGGTGCTGGAACTAAGGTTGCACGGGGTGTTGCAGCGCCCCCCGACTTGAAGGCTGTGTCTACACTGGAACCTTTTTCCGTAAAAGGGATGCTAATGAGACACTTCGGAATTGCAAATTCCGCAGGGGATTTAAATATCCCCCGCGGCATTTGCATGAACATGGCTGCCGCTTTTTTCCAGCTCAGGGTTTTGCCGGAGAAAAGCACCAGTCTAGACGGGATCTTGTGGAAAATAAGCCCTTTACCGATAGATCCCTTATCCCTACTTTCAAGCTGTCCTTTATTTTGAAATCTATTTTGAAATAACGGACTGCTTCAATAGTTGCGGAATAGCTATTTTGGGATACTTCTGGTTTCCTGAAGTAGCTCCACATTGTAGACGTACCCTAAGTGTCTTGCCCAAAGTCACAATGGAAATCTCTGTCAGAGAAGAGAATTGTACTTAGATCTCCAGAAACTTAGGGCCTGAAAAATACCTCTCTATTATATACAGTGTCTCCAGTTGGGTTCAACAGCTCTCATCACCCTCGCTGCAGGTTGGACATCCCTGGTCCAGCACTCGCGGGACATGACTGGTCCTGGTTCAGGGACTTTGCCAGATCAGGGAAGGTCATTTCTGTCCCCTACATCTTCCCCCACCACCGGTGCTCCCAGCCATGGCCTGCCTGTCAGCCTCCCAGCCAATCGCGGGACATGACTGGTCCTGGTTCAGGGACTTTGCCAGATCAGGGAAGGTCATTTCTGTCCCCTACATCTTCCCCCACCACCGGTGCTCCCAGCCATGGCCTGCCTGTCAGCCTCCCAGCCAACCCCTGTTCCCAGTGTCTCTGCACACAGACCTCCTGGCCCTACTGTGGCAGTCCCCCAGGTACATGTACAGCCCCACTGCCAGGCATCTCCCTTGTTGGGAAGCTGTACTGCCAGGTAGCAGCCCTGCCTGGGGTTCAGCCTTACTGGCAGCCCTGATACCTCCTGGTTTTACCAGGCAGCTCTGCTAACCGGTAGTGGGGCTGCCAAGCTATTTGCTGTGCCACAGGGCAGCCCCCTTCCGGGATTCCTGGCTCCACCACTAGTCCCGCTGCCTCCCGGTCCTGTCGTGCAACTACACCACTGGATGGTAATGGGGCTGCCAGGCACTGGCTGTGTTGCAGGGCGGCCCCGCTGCCGGCTCCCGACCCCACTGCCAGATAACCCCCACTGCCTCCCTAGATGCTTTTGCCATGGAGCAGTAATTTTGCCCCCGGGTAGCAGCCCTGCTGCTGCTGGGCTGTTGGTTTCGTTGCCACAGAGTAGCCCTGTGACTGGGCTCCACCTCCATTGCAGGGCTCCCAGCCATGAGCCCTCCGCAGGACTCTCTGGTCCTGAACATCCGTGGTCCTTCTGGACCAGGGATGTTGCTGGACCAGCGAGCCCTGGTTAAGAGAAGTTCAGCTTGCACAAAAAAAAAAAAAAAAAAAAATTGTTCCAGCACCCTGGACCAACATCCAAAAATCGTTCTTCAGTTTGGCAGCAAGTTATGCTGCCAAACAAGCCATAAGACTAGTTTACGACGTTCCTTTCCTCCCAAGATGAAAGAAGTGACAATGAAATGTGTTGACTGAAGCAACTTTCAGTTCTTTAAGAACTGAAAAAAATAAAAGCTAAACATTTTAATTGCTTTTATGCACTTCTGTAAGTTAAGATTTCTAGACCATTACTCAAAATATGAACAAATATTGAAAACAATGCCTTTCTCTTGAAATCTAGTTCTGGTTTTCCATTGTCAAGTATAAGGACTTTGGGAGAGATCAGAGACTATTAAACGGATTCCACATCATTCAGTCATTTGCCCAGTCTGTAGATGGTAATTAGATTAAATTGTAGGAAACAACAGGCTACCAACACATTACAGATTGACAGAAGAACTGAACTGGACCGCTTTTGAAGCGCAAAGTTATTCAGCCTATGGTATGAAAAAGGTCTTGTTTGGATTGCCAAGATGGCTATGATTTCCATGTGGCCATTTCAAAACACAGGTCTTAGCACTGGCTTTAGGGACACCTAGAGACCTTGGCATAATGGAATTACAGAGAAAAACAACCCTAACACTTCATATGTTATCATAGCAATTTAAGAAAGTGTCCAACTTCATTTACACTATGGAAATATTTACACATTTAACTTAAAAAACACCCTACTTTTGCCACACTTTCTCGCCTAGATGAACACTTTTGTAATGGACAGTTAGATGGTCTCTGCGGCCAAAACACTTTCCACACTCCTCACACTGATGTGCTTTTTCACCTTAAAAGAAAACAACAACAAATATAAATTAAGTTTAAGAATTCAAGTTTCAGAAAAAAAAAAAAGACAACCATATTTAATACAAAGGTTCCAGGCAACCAAAAGCTCTTCCATATCTTAAAGGATAATATCACCCATATTGTTTATATGATTTTGGGTTGATCCAAGCAGAGATGATGTTTTTACCCATCACTTCATTTTTTAGTTCCTCATTCCCTGGCTTGTTTTTCCTCCTACATGCTAACTATTCTTCATGGCTGGGGTACCTGACCCCACAGAGTTATGAAGAGGAGAATCAACAGAATGACTGAAAGTTCACTCTTTCATAAGACTTGAAATGTCACCTTTAAAAATCTAAGCTCCAAGAGCCTTGAAAAAGCCTTAGTTTTGGAATAAATGTTGGCCACCTTTCTTTTGCAATACCAGGTCAACAATCAGTTTTAAGAACATAGCGCTACATCCAAATGTTCATCTTTTTTTCCCCTAATTTTCAATAGTTACCTTTTATCTTTTATGATGTTTAAAAGTCTTGAAGTTTCTTTTGAGTCATCTTGAGATCTTTCACAAAGTAGCAGAATATTTCTTCTGATGTAAGTAGAGTGAGTTTGAACAGTCAAAATATGTAACTTTCTAGAGGAAAAGAGGCAAATATAGTAGAAAAGGGGATTTTTTTTTAATCTTTAAAAGTTCTGATTTCTTGGTTTTATAGTGGGTGTTAGAGTTTCAAACACTAAATAATAAGCTGTCTTATACAAACAAGGGCTCAAAAAGTTTAGTCCTTGGATCACTTTCATATCTTCATACTATTTTGGAAAGTAATTTCCACCCTCTGGGGAATCTTATATTCCCTTTGGAGCCTATGCTGGAGGAATAAAGGAATCCCAATGGTTCCAAGCTTTCTTTTTTCTACAGATATGATCCCCTTCCTATTTGCCTCAAGATGAAAAACAGGTGGGGAGAATAAGGTTAAAAACATTTGTGTTCTTCCATTTGCTTTGGTTCTCTCAGATTTGATTCTCTCCATATTTAGGATTTCGCAATTACCAATCCACAATGGGGAACTCTATAAACTCAGACAGTTAAGTGTTACTTCTCTATATTTGTATTCTACATTAAAGTGATCGGGGTGCAAACTTGGACAGAGATTGTGTGAATGACAGTTTTGTCATTATGGTATTAATGTTTCAAACAGTTGCTATTAAAAAAGAAATCTTATTGTATTATGGTATTAATGTTTTAAACAGTTGCTATTAAAAAAGAAATCTTAACTCAAAAAATCCTCTTATCACATTTGCTCGTTAAACAAATTCATAAATAAAAAGTTACACCATTTGACTGTCCCTCAGCTCTCTATTAAGAGAGGAAACATTCGGCTCTTAAACTTTGCAAGTGATTAAAAAGATAAACAAGCTCTACCTTAGGACACAAAGCAATAGACTAACATTGGTAATAGGCTTACACAACACTCATTAAAAACCTTTAAAAAAGTATAAGTGTAACCCACACACCTAGTGTCGTTCACTGTCCCTTGCAGTAGCACCTAGACCACAGTAACAGATAAGAATAAGAGACCTCTACAGCATGAGCTGAGAACCAGAAGGTAGAGGCGCCTGTACTAAATTCCAGAGGTCCCATGTTCAAATCCGACTGGTAGTGGTTACATAAGCACTATTTTTCTACTCACTTTTTCTTAACTACTTTGATCACACTTCCAAAAATATTGCCTACCTGAGTGTATTTTTTTGTGTTTTGTTAGATGGTCATGCCGAATAAATGTTTTCCCACATTCTTCACATTCATACCTCTTGTCATTATGGTGAACACGCAGATGAAGTCTATATTAACACAGAGAAATTTATGTCACTGTTGAAGTTTAACATGTTTGGCTGTGGGAGAGGGGAAGTGTACAGAGCTTCCTATAGTCAGGGGAGAAATCTGGGGGTGCATTGGACATGGCCCTGGATACTGTGCAGGGGGAGAGGAAACCCCATCCTCCCCAACCCAGCTGGGTCTAGCAGCTGAGCCCAGCACAGAGGAGCCACCAGCTGCATCCTCCCTAGTCCCACCCCCTACCCTATTCCAGTGATTTACTTCTCTGCCAACTGCTTTGGACACCCAAAACATACTGCTGGGGAAGACTGCATGACTATTATTGTGGCTTCCCTTTTAGAAAGACATTTTGCTGCCAGGAATCAAAGCCCCAAATTTAGATAATTAAAAATAAAAAGGATTTTTACACATCAATATCAATCTAAATGCCCAAAAAATGTTTATGTTAAAAAAGTTTGGAAAATTGTTTACTAGTGTTGAAAACCCAAATAAAACATTATCAATATAATTTTTCAAGGTGTGTTGGCAAAGATGATATCTAGATCACCATCAAGAAGGTAGTAGCTTAATCTCTTTAAACAGAATCAAAATCTGCTTCATTACCTGTAGGAGCTTCCATGGCGAAAACTCTGCCCACAAATACTACAAAGATGAGGCTTCTCCCCACTATGAATTCTCATATGTTCTTTCAAAGTTGTCCTGGGTTTAAAAAAAAAAAAAAACCCAGAAATATTTTAGAAACTCAGCATTACTACTACTCCCATTAAGCGGACACAAAGCAGACATCAAGAATGGTAACATACAAGAAACAGTGAGAGAACATTTTAAACAGCCTGGACACACAAGCAGACAGCATTGGAATGGGTCAGAATAGAGATTGGGAATGGCTTGTTCATTACCATAATTAATTTTCCACTTTAGGTACTCTCACCTTCTTATCCACAGCCACCCTGACTGAATTAGCTCTGATGCAACACTCCCCTCTCTGTACCCCTACTATCTGTTTTTTTTCTTTCCCTTCCTGCATCTAATCAAAAGATTTATAACTCCTGAAAGCTTATGCCATAACAAGATTGTTAGTCTTTAAGGTATCTCTGGCCTCCTTGTTTTCACTGAAACACACTAACATGGCTACCTCTGAAACCTCTCAGTTATTATTGGTAACATCTAGAATTACTAAGTTTAACTAAAAATATTTGAAGGACAGTAAAAGTTCTGTTATCCAGCACTAAATTAACCCAAAAGTTCAATTAACCAGTATTTCTGACATCTCTCAATACAAATCTTGAATCTAGTAACCAAGACTAGTATACTGGCAAGTATATTATGCAACTGCATATTCTGCACTTTGCTTTTATAGAAAGTGTCAGAAGACAAATAAGGAAGCTAATATCTAGGATTTATTGAAAATAAAATCTACCAGGGTATATCATAGGGTCATAACTGATTCAGCCCAATCTCCTGGATCATCTGCATTTACAGTGATAACTGATGCTGATGATAACTCTGAAGTACTGCAAGATCCTTAAGTGTCTTCTGAATGAAATGAAATTACATTCAGTATAGTTTTAGTGTTAAGTGTATTTTTAGTGATCTGGGTGTACACCATGCGTTGCCCACAGTGATATGTAGTGCCTCATTTCTGAATTTATATATGTTTAATTACATAGGTATACACAAAAGAAAAGCATATACAGGGTAAAGTTAAGTGGTTCAAGAAACCAACCACTCTTCAGTGCAACACTAATAGATTGGTAAGTACATGTATAATATTTTATACTTTATTTTATTGCAGTCTTTGAAGATTGGTATTTCATTGGTAAAGTTGAGCTCCCAGTTAACCATAATATTCAATTAACCGGCACCCTGTAATCTCCCAACATGCCAGATAAGAGATTTTGTTGTACTGTGGTTTTTAAGTCTGCTATTGAAACCAGTAACTCCAAATATATTTACTTCCGTGCACATATTCAACTATTTTGAAACTTTAGGACAGGATTTTGTGTTTTATTTTTACTAGCAGCTTGTTACAAAGTAAAAATGAATTACAGGACATTGAAAAAAATGTGCTGTGCTCTTGTATCTTATGTACTGGCTTGTTGTTATATTTGTACATTGTATTTAAGTATATACGTGCCTATCAGTTTTATAAATTTTAAGAGACACTGCTGTTACACACTATATTCTGCTTAACCCTTCTATCTGCATAAAAACTATAACAAAATTATTTCTACTGGGGCCAAAATCCTCTTCCTACAGTACTCAGTGGGAGCTGTTAAGTTATTTGGAATAAATCCATGGAAAACATATGTAAGCTCAGAAATTTTCGATGTATGATCTCTTAAAATATTTGGAACATATCCGGCTCAATGACTAAAATCTGATCTGATTTATGTCATGTCAGAAGAAGGATTTTTATTACTTTTTTCCTTTTGTAGGAAGAATACCTTTTAACACGAGGTTGAAATATAAATTAATGTCAGATTTAGTGTAAGATGTTTCAATCACTGTTTAAAAAATAAAGATAGCTTTACAAAGCATCTGTTCTGAACCTATGTGAAAGTCTGTTTCAGAACTCTCATCAGGTTTCTCATACACACAGTTAAGCATTAACTCCCGAAGAACAAAAATCCTACTTTTGTACAGATTTATACATTTTCTATGAGAGTGTCCACTTCCCCAGCTATATCAAAGCACTTATTTTGTGCTCTGCACTGAAAGTTAGTATCTGCCATTCCAGGCACTAAATACAAGGTAAAGATATATGACCATAACTAGAGCTATGCAAATCTTCAGATATCCTTTTGATGTCGGTAGATATAGCTGCACATACAAATTTTGCATCTAGAATCCTGCAGATTTGTGGATATAAAGCAGATATCCTCAACTCATTTTTGCGGATATTGATGGGGATACAAATTTTGCATCCCTGCAGGGCTCTAATAATAAGAGCAAAAGCTATTATTTGATTAAGTTTTGTTCCATTTAGGAAATGAAAAGGAAGAGAAGGAAGAGAGTTTCCTCCCCCCCCCCCAAACAATTTTCTAAAATCCTTCACTTTTTTTTTTTTTAATTTTGAAGTAGGCAGGAATAGCAGGTGATGTATATTTTAAGAAGTCCAGAACTTCTCCAAGTTTTCCCTGGCCACTCCAATATATTGTTCCTCTTTTTCCTGTTATTCTCAGCAATGTACTTTTTGCAGAAAAAAAAATCTTGTTTCCTCCTCAGTTACACAGACAGTAAAGGATGTAGTGAATTCCAATACAGCCAACAGACTTCCTCAATAGAAACTTTATATTTAGTATTTTGCAGTTAATCACCTTCTCTCTCCACTCTCATATTTAAATCATAAATGTATGTTTGTATCAGAGATACAATTTCTTTGATACACTGGTTTACTATTTCTCTTAGCTTTGAGTTTATAAAAATCAGTTAATTTATTTACTTTCTTATCAACATCTCACATTATGTCAGACCATGATTGAAATATTCCTTCTTACCTTTCTCTGACTGATTTTCCACATATAAAACACACCCATTTTCTCTTTCCCCCATGAGTACATTCTATATGGCGTTTTAGATTTCTAGTGTCATTGAACTGACGACCGCAAATATCACATGGGAAAGGGCCTAAAGGAAATAATCAGAACTACTATTAGTTGTGAGTAATTATGTTGAGTCAAACATGTATATTGTGGGTCACTGATAGATTCCTTAAGCTGCAAAACGAAAAGGCCAGTTTAATGAATTATTGATAATTACTACACATTCCTTCAGTATGTAAAATTTAAACATTTGAATTTTTTACAGCCTATCAACTAATTTAAGTCTGATAGTCTAATGCTCTGAACTTATGTATAGCTATCAAAGACATATTTTAGCAGTAATATGACATGAACCTATCTGGATTCTTCTAAAACCAAATTCTGACCACCAAAGCTACCACCACCATCTCTCCTTTCTAGGAAAAGCCTGGAAGAATCCACAGCTCTTCAGCATGCCCAAGAAGTTAACAAATATAGTATTTCACAACCCACAATGTTAATTAGACTTCATACTTAATGACCAATTTATTGAAGATGACATCGCTTTGCTAAATTAGGGGCCTGTTATAGCAATTGCTTTACCATATCTAACAACAATTCCTAGCTTAAAGAGATGTACCCACACTAGCTCTGATCGCTGCAGCAGGTGCTAGCTGGCACAAATATATGCTATGGTCTTGGATGGTATATATTTGAGGTGGCTAGCCTCTCCTATCCTTTGTGCTGTTGTGACTACACACTATTTCCTCTAATCTATAAAGCTTAATCAGATCTAGCGCAAGTATTTCACCAAGTTGGGAATCACAGCTGCAGCTCAAAGTGTAAGAATACCCTTACATCTCAGTTGCTGTGGTATGAGAAAATTAGTGCAAGAGACTTAACAGTTCATAATAATTTGAATATCTATAGACTTTTATATTAATCTTATATTTTGAATTTTGTTTTATTAAAGTTTCCATACTGATGGAATATTTATCCCTCATAAGATTATCCATTATTTGTGTAATAGTGCTGGCTACCAATCATTAAGTGAATACATATACTTTGTAGGTGATTAACATACCCACGCTTTTAACCATAACCAGAATTTCCCAGTCAGCTAGCCTAAATGTGGCTTTTGTACATGATAGTTATTTGGATTCATACCTTTAAGATATTATTGCAGTTTAATGAAATAAAATAAAATAAACCAAGCTATTGTTCTTTGAAACCTTTCAAAAGCTTAAGAAATCAAATAAAATATTTTCCCTTGCTCCTGTTAAATATCAAATTCGGTGCTCATTGGAAGAAGTCTGTACTACTTCAAATCTATTGTTTGCATGTCAGAAAGAGGTTTTATACCAAGATGGAATTTTTCTTGATGCTTCAATCTTGCAAACCGGGATTTAAAGTGCTCATCACAATAGGTACACTTGAAGGGTTTATCCTGAGTGTGAAGAATCATATGTTCTTCCAAATGGGGTCTTCGAGCAAAAGATTTCTTACAAATCTAAAATGACAAAAATACTTGGTCAAACATTAGCCAGAAACAAACAAAACATTTTTAAAAATTTTCTATAGCATCTTTAAAAAAAAAGACACTCAAATCATTGGTGGGGGGGGGGAGAAGGAGGGCAGGTGTGTGTGTGTAACCCCACAGACTATACTTTTAGGCTCATTTTCACTTTATTGATATCCAAATAACTCAACTCAAATCCTAGGGCAAGAAACCTCAGTAGTTGAGAAAATGAAAAAAACTCAGCTTGCTTATACTTAGACTTGAAAAAAATTAAATTTATATTTGAATATGTTAATAGCTAATAAAGGTTTACTTTTAAGTATTTAAATTATCAAGTTTTCACAGTTACACAAAATTATGGGTATTAAGAAGTTATATTTTTATCAACTTATTTTCACAATTATAGGAAATTATGGGTGGCTGTCAGACAATTATTTAATGATGCACCTGAACTGCTATGCTCTGGGTGTTCATAATCCAGAAATACCTATGGTACAAACTCTAGCAGGGGGAGAAGGAAGCGTCCATGTGTGCTCCTGCTCCTCCTTCCATTCCAGCTGGAGGAACAGCAGCACAGAGATGCACTTTCCCTTAGGTTTTTCCCTGCCACTCCCATAGCAGTGGAGGGCATGGAGCCTTGTCTCTGTCTCAACAAATTTTTTAATCCAGCATACTCTATTTCCCAGGGTTACTGGATTAAAGGGGTTCAAGTGTAGTAGATGCTGAAACTCAGTTTTATAAATCATCAATACAAGCTGACACTATCACACATCAAATAAGTTAAGTAAAAATCCTTAAATCAACATTTTTAATATGTATTTGCTAGTCCATTTGTAACAAACCTAATTCAGAAGTCTAGATCGAGGCAGGCAAAATATGGCTATTTAAGCTTTTTAATCCGGGCCAAGGCCTATCCATGCAACAGGGAGCAGCACCACTCAAAGAAGCTGGCTGTTCCCTGTGGCTCTTTGTGCTGTGGAGAAGGTGGGGGGAAAGGGGAAGAGGTTTTGCACACTGCCCCCATCCGCCAGCAACATCTCTGAGCTCCTACTGGCTGGAAAACGGCCAATGGGAGCTGACAGATTTTGCAGGGAATGGGGGCAGTGCAGCACAATCTCTCAGCTCCCATTGGCCAGTAGTCTGGGGCTGCTGGTGAGCAGGGGGGCTACCTGAGTGCAGCTGGATGGGAAATGCTTAGGTAAGCGCCTCCTGACCAAAGCTTGTCTCCACCCTCTCCAAACCCCTAACTCCCTCCCAGACCCTATATCCTCTCTTGCACCTATACTGCCTCCCAGACCCTAATCCCCTGCCCCAGATCACAACCCTCTCCTTCACCCAAACTACCTCTTAGACCCCCACCTCTCTCTCCTACACCACAGTTCCCTACCCCGAGCTCCTGTCTGCATCCAACCTCCATCCGAGATCCCTCACTACCGTCATAGAAAAGTGTGGCCTTTGACCACTTACAAAAATCTTGGAGTGGACCCTTCATCACAAATTACTGCACACCCTTGGTCCAGGTCATTGGACTGTGCAACAGAAGTCTTACTTTGCTGGTCTGTAAATTTCAATTATCAAAGGAAATATATTTTCTCCATTTGCATTCTATGGTGAAATCAACATTTACCAATAGTCTAATCCAGGGGCGAGCAATAATTTTTGTTGGGGGGAACCACACCAAGAATTTAGTAAGTAATCAAGGGCTGTATTTCTCTATGACATTAACAGAAGGAGCATGGGCTCTGGGACAGACTGGGTGCAGAAAGGAGCACGGGGTAGGGGACTGGGATGCAGGAGTATGTATAGAATCTGGGAGTGAGTTTGAGTGAACAAATTTATTGTAACCTGGAGTTTGAGATGCAGGAGGGGCTGCAGGGGTTTGGATTGTGGCCTAGGGAAGGAGGAAAGGGTGGAGCACCAGGTGCAGACTCTGGCCAGGAAGCACTTACCTTAGGCAGCTCCTGGCCAGCAGCCCTCTGGGAGCCTAAATTAGGTTCCTGCCTGCTGCATCCCAACACACTGCTCAAAATGGAAACTGGCCAATGGGAATTTTCTGGGCTGTGCTTGCAGGTGCAAGCAGCTTGCGGAGCCCTCCTTCCCCGTTGACACACCACACAGCTGCATACACTGGCTCCAGCAGCCGGCCACTTTAAGCGGCATGTGGGGCTGCAGCAGGAAGGAAGCCTGCCTGAGGTTCCCACTGGGCTGCAGGACACTGGTGGCTCAGAGCATCATGACAGACCAGATCCAGACCACAGGCTGTATTTTGCCTGCCCTGGTCTAATCCTTTCAAGCCTACTTATAACTGGTGCTGCTCCCATTTTTAGTATTCAAGTGTGTCTGTGAATTTATCTAGTATTACTGCATAACCAAAAAGCATAAATGTACAGAGTCCTATGTTCAAACACTGACTGCTAGTACAAATCAAGCAACATCAGGGAGCCGAATGATTTAGTGCAATTGGCTGGAGGAGCTATTTCAAGCAAGGCCACAACTTCAGGACTTCATCGCATTTT